TCTGTAGTGTTTCTTCACACTTTGCAAGTGGGGCATTATTTTTGTACGTGAGGCATGCAATGCTTACTGCCTATAGAAAACCTTCAAATTCCTAAATTTAGGTTTCCCCTCTTGTACTGCAAGCCAGTGTGGAGACTTTCATGTGAACCTCCCCATGTTTCCCTCATGGGACTTAGAGGCAAGGAAACTGATGCTCGTGGTATGTACTCTGTTATGAAGTCCTTTGGTTTAACTTCCAGGTCATCCAGGAAACTGGCAGTCTACCTTATTAACTTGTGAGTAGGATTAAATATTAGATGCTTCAATGCTTGAGGATGTGTTTGTCTGTGAAGTAATAGTTTCCTTTATGGATACAATTGTAACATGAAATAGGAAATAGTGAGAGAATACTAACTATATATTAGCAGAAATTTCCTATCAGATAGCCTGGTTGAGTCTCCTGCACACATTTCCTCCTCTGTATTCTTAAAGATAAAGAATAATGGCTATGACAAAGTTCATGTCATTGGTTGTCAGAACTGGGGTGTGAGTGTGTGTGTGTGTGTGTGTGTGTGTGTATTGCAGGCTACACAGATGTCCTTTTCCTCTTTCTCTGCTCCATATGGCATTCATCACTTTGATTGTCCTCCTGTATATTTCAAAATGTCTCCATATTCCATTTGGAAAAATGTGTTATCCTAACCAGAGTTTCTCCAGAAAGCTGAGCCTGTGATGGGCATATGTGCAAAGGTGGTCAGTCTGTTTGGAAACTGATCTCATGAAAGAAGAGTGGGCACTTGGAGGAGTAGAAGAGAGAAGAAGGAAAGTCGTCTAAGAGAGCATCAGTGGCTGGACACTGCCCTGAGCCATGGGGCTTGAGCTCCCTGGGGAGCCTTGGGAAGCAGGTAGATCACATTTTAGAGCCGCCTTCCTGAGCCACAGCTGGATTGTTTCCCCCATCCTGTCACAAGAGAAAGGGTGAGGAGTGTGAGGGGCCCAAGAGAGAGGACATCTGCTTGGTGTTCAGGAAGCTGTTGCCTTGTCACACTTGCGGGTGGGGCGTAGTCAGCACCGATAGAAGGTGAGCCAAGAGGTCTGAGCAATGCACAGGAGGTGACCTGGCATGGTGTAGGTTACAATCAGTGTAAGTGTGTACTTACTCAATTTGAACACATTTGTATTTAGACAGCAAGTTTTGCCTTCATGCAAAGTAGTTCATTGGTACATGTTTTCATATAAAATTCAAGGGCCTTGGAAAAGCAACTAGCCCATGTCTTCGTCTTATTCTGAGTTGCTAATCCCCCTCCACTTTCATTCTGTGCCGTGTCACAATCTTCCCTCAACCAGGCTTGTAACCTTCCTACCATCTCATCTTTGTATTTTCAGCTGGCTTTTCCAGAAACATCCATAATATATTTCCCACAATCTCTCCTGTAAGATGATAGATCAGACATACTGTCTTTATAATGTCTTTCCAACACACGCTCATCACTAACTTACTGGCAATCTCATCATTCCTTGATGGACCTCTGCTATTACACTGGGCATATTGTATTGCAGGAAATTTTTAAAAATCACATCACTTTCACAAGACTGCCATCCACTGACAGGTGATTGTGTTATTGCCAGCACCTAGCCCAGTACCCAGAAGGCAGTCAGTGCTCAGTATCCATAAAATGGAATCAGTGCTTCAATGACTTGTGTTGATGGAAACACAGAGAAAGGAGGCTGAGTGGGTCCTATGGTTGTTGCATTCGGGGTGGTTTTTATGTGAATTAAGCTCAAGAGGTAATTTTGACCTGAAGTCCCTTTACTTTTGCAGGTGGTATTTGGAATTCAGAGAGGAATTATAGTTATCTTCTATAAATATCACTTGTTACTTAGTTAGACGCAAAACTCCATTCAAACTGCCAAGTTCATTTGGATCCAGATTCTCTCTCGTAACACCATTCTACATGTTTTCTTGATAGCCTCTATATTAGTCAGGGTTCTCCAGAGGAATAGAAAATAGAGCATGTTGTGTGTGTGTGTGTGTGTACACATATACATGTTATGAATATACACACATATGATTTATTAAAAACAATTGGTTCATGTGATTGAGGCAGGTGAGCTCCTGTTTTGAAGGACTTCAACTCAGTGTATTGACTTTATACAGTTCAATTTGTTTTACTCTGTCAATTTAATTGTTATTCTTGTCCAAAAACACCCTTGCAGAATCACCCCAACTTAGTCAAATTCACACAGAATATTAACCATCATAGTATCTTTACTTTGAATTCATCAAATCAAAAGATAGTTAATAAACAAGCCAGCAAACCCCACTCCCGCCAAGTGCCAGGAATTCAAAAGCTGCTTTTTTCTGTAAAACTTTATGGCATCTTCTCCTCCCAGGTTCCCCTTTGTGGTCTCCAACCACCCCTCACTCCCCCCGCAACACCTCAAAGGTTAGTTCCATTCAATTGGTAAGTTTGTGTGGGTGTGTGTTTGTGTGTGTGTGTGGTACTGGTACTCAGGGTCTTCACCTTAAACCACTCCACCAGCCCTTTTTTTATGATGGGTATTTTAGAGATATGGCATCTTGAACTATTTCTCTTGGTTGGCTTTGAGCCACGATCCTCCTGATTTCTGCCTCCTGAGTAGCTAGGATTATAGGCGTGAGCCACGGTGCCAGGCTCCTTTGGTAATTTAACATAGAGCTGGTGTCATTGTTCTTTGAGACTATGAATGCACTCGGATGAGAAGACAAGTTAATTTGAACTCCTGGTGTCTTGTTATATGTCCCTCACTGGTCTGGGCTTCCATTCTGTCTTGTTGGCATTTGCTTCATGTTTTCCTATTTGACAATCTTCCTTTACAGATTTAATTACTTTTGTTTTCTCCTTTTCTTTATGAGTTCTAGTAAAAGAGTAGACCTGTGCCTTCTTTAAGCTTGCTTTTCTTACAAATATGCAAAAAAAATCTCTTTTTTCTCATTTAGCAGTTTTTGCAAGTCTTAATTCAGTATTGCCTTCTTATTAGGGTGATTTTCACATTTGATGAGGTGTTCTCATTCATGACACCAATGTCTCGTGCTGAGTTCTGCAAAGTGGTATCTGGTGATCTTTCCTGCTGTATTCCCATATATGATTATCTTTTCAATTCTTCTCTAAAGTCACACAGCTTGAGACAACAGGGCTGGGACTCACACACGCAATGCATCTCTGTGGGATTACATCTACTGTGCTGAAGTTTTTCAGTCGTCCTTCTGATCACTCAGTCATTTGGCAGGTTTCCCTTCTTGGCATGGCAAATTCTACTATGCCATTATGGTTATTTTCTCAAAGGATTGGACACCCCTGGGCTATCTTAGAGCTCTGTGCAGGCCAACGAACATGGTTGATACATGGTGTGTGTTTGTTATGGACTGAAAAAATTATCTGGCTGGTGCCAGTCGTGGTGCTGGGATCCCTCCTGAGGGTGCAACCTGGAGTTTATCTGTGAACTCTTATGTCAGAGCACTCAAATTCTCTTCTGCCTTCTTCTCCCAGATGCTCCTTGCCCTTCCTGGGTCTAGGAGCATCTCCCTGAGAGAGGTTAAAAATTTGGCACAAACTTCTCCCATCCCTCTGGAATAGTTCTTGAAAATCCACATCCATCTCACAAGTAATATTCTGGTTCAGACCCCAATCTTGCCAAGTCTCAGAGATATGTAGGAAGTATTTTTTATTACCTTTTCTTAAAAGCTCACCTTCATTTTTTACTTACACTTCCGTAGTTACAACTACATTTATGATAGTAGCAATTAATTATAAGCTCTTCAAATTATTTTCTTTTTAAATTCTTTGCACCAATTTTTTTTGTATTTTTTCTGTGTCATGCTTAATGTCTCTATAACAATCTGCATCTAAAAATCAATTTTAAATTTATCAAAATACTATAACTACAGAGCAAGAAATTTGCATATTAAAAAAAAGCCCGAGGTCATCATCCATCTGATTCTCTGGAGGAAAGGAGCTGATACAAGTTTACTCCCTTCTGTGTTTCAGACAGGACTCAATTTACACACATTCCCTTACTTCATCTTCACACAGAGCCTGTCATCATCTGTTATTTTCTCTCATACGTGTTTTTCTACCATTTTCTGCCTGTCTAAAGAGTCCTTCCGTTTACTTTTTAAATGACAATAGAGTAGATCATCAAATGAATATGCTTAAATCTATGTACACTTTACTTTAGCTTACCATCTATGTGATCTCCTTTGTTGTTCTCCTAGGATAAAGTCCTGGATCTTGGTGTGTCAAAGTAAGTTTGTTTTGCTATCACTTTATATTCATGCTTCCTTAAGTCACCTGGATGCACAAATTTCAAGAGGAATTTGACATCCCCTTCTACTTTCTCTTCAACAAGTCAAGCATCATTTAGGAGAGTCAACTGTAATAGCTGTTTCCCACCCCCTTCTCTTTCCTCCCCAGTAACTTAGAGAACACAGTTAGTGATGTTTCCAAATTTCTTTTTCTTTCTTTCTTTCTTTCTTTCTTTCTTTCTTTCTTTCTTTCTTTCTTTCTTTCTTTCTTTCTTTCTTTCTTCTTTCTTTCTTTCTTTTTCTTTCTTTCTTTCTTTTCTTTCCTTCCTTCCTTCTTTCTTTCTTTCCTTCCTTTCTTCCTTCTATCAATTTTTTTATTAGGCTATATTCATTATGGGGGAGATTCATAGTGACAATTCCGATTAGATTTATACTGTACATTATTTACATTACCCCAATCATCTCCACCTCAGCCCCCTCCCCACCCCACTTAAAGCAATTGCAAGAAGTTTTTTAGTTCTGTTTTACATAAGTATATGAAGTCTGTCAACCATATACTGCCACCTTAATCTCCTTCCTTCTACTCTCCCCCCTCCTACTTGTACCCCCACCACACACACCACATGTGTTTTTCTAAGTCATCTGTTTTCACAGGTAGGTCATGTGACTGGTCTGACATCCACTGGGTAGCAGGTGCTCATCAGCTGGTCATGCCAGACTCTCTCTCTTACTCCAGAGTCACCAGGAGAAAGCTCCCTTCGCATCCTCATCTCGCCACCTGCTCTGCACATTACTGCTGTGGGGATCCCAGTGAGTGGGATGCTGTTCCTACTGCAGAAGACGTAACTAGTTTTGTGTGAGACACCCTTAGTCCTTCCATTTGCACACATGAGAAGGCTTCAGGCAGAGGTGACACTGGAGTTGAGCCCTGAAAGTAATAATCATGAGGCCCAGCAGAGAGGACAGGGGGAGGGTGGAGAACATGTTCCCATACAAGCAATGTGATATAGGGGGGCCAAATGTTTTTTGGCTCAGCACAGCACATCCAGGGATATAGTAAGAAGACCTCTCTGCATAAAGGAAGGTGCTCATCTGGAGGATGGCGGGCAGGGGCATCCATCTACAGTGTAAGTGGGGTAACAGGAAACAAGAACGGTGAAGGGAACTGAGTGCCAGGTACCAACATTGAACTCAGGGACCGTTAAGGGGGGACCCATTATAGGTGCATGAGATGGTAATTTGTGTGATTTGTGCACAGCAATATTTTGAAAAGGTTTCTGTTATGATGATCTGTAAGGCATGTCTGATGGGCTGTCTGTAACTAAAACTTTGACATCAGGGTTAACTACATGGTTAAACAGAACACCTGGGGTGACATGATGACAGTGATAATGGAAAAACTACTGCACATACAAAAACAGTGTGATCCTGGGTGACTGATTGACTGTGGGTGGAGAATGAGGGGTGGAAGCTAGTAACCTGTACTTAGTGGACTTCTTTCAGGTATAGGTAATAAAATTCTCAAATAGTCTTAACCAAAAAAGAGAACCAAAGTTCCTGCTGGATCCAGGCTGGTGCTGAACTGAGGAGCTAAATCCTGTCCTGGGACATCTGTCTTTTTCTCTTTCAGTTTCAAATCTCTACGCTGGCTTCATTCTGCAGCAGCTCTGTCTCTGCAGTAGCTTCAGGCATCCAGTTTATTCACCGAGAAACATGGCTGTTTGTGTTTAAATTTGTTCTTAGCAGTGTTCAGTTCTATGAGCCAGATGTGTCTAATTATAGAGCAGCCATGCTGTGGAGAGTGAATTTTACAAAAATTTTGACGGTCTCAGGATACCCATGTCGTAGGACAGTAATTTCCCCTCCCTGCAAGAAATGACAATGCATTCTGTCCATCTGTTGATAACAAAACCAACATTTGTTGAGCGGCTTTAATTACTAGGTTTTGTATTAATTGGACGCTGGTGAAGATGCCTCCTCTTCCACAATTATCAGCCCCAAGGCCTTGTCATCCATCGGTGTAGCATCACTATCTATCCACCACCCAGTGGGTGGGCTTCTTCCCACAGTGAGAATAGGTGGAAGCCACCAAACCATGCACCTAGCAGACTGGGCTTTGTCACCTTCTCTGGAAAAGATTGCCTATCCGAGGCACTCAAAGCATATTGTCCAAATTTTACCATTTCAAGGTTAAACCGCCTTGGCATTTCCCCTAAAATGTCCAAAGCATTGTAATTCCAATATGTATGATGATGTTATAAGTTATTACCACAAATAAGTTGAGTTAAAAATAACAGAATTTTTATTTTGTCATAGCTAGGGAGACCCCCAAGTTAGGATATGATTAGTTACTGGCAAGACGCCAGTTTCCTTCCAAAGCTCTGGGGTTTCCATTCTGGTTTCTCCAGCCTCGAGCTGCATCACTGAATCGCCACCACCCATCTTCTCATCATCTTTTCCTCTGTATGTGTGTAGTCGCTAATCTTCCTGGGCATTTTTCATAAAAGGACAGTTTTCATGGTACTTAGGATCCATCCATTTACCCCAAGACAATATCCACATCTCACAGTCTTTAATTATGTCAGGAAATCCTTACCAATCATAGGCTCCAGGGTCTGGGATGTAGATTTATTCTCAGGAGCCATGATAATAAGCCTACCACGAATGGTATGCAAAATTTGCTTCAACCATAAGTACAATGCTGTTTGATCTTTCAATAAAAACTTCCCAGTACTTCTGTAAATTTTAAACTCAGTGCTCCACACAAAGAATCTATAGGTATCCTTGTTTAAATTTAAAGACCCTCTCTGGAGGATCACTTGTCCCCTCTGCTTTTGGCTTCTACTATTTGCTCTGCAGACATGGTCAGAAATCTGCACTTGCATCACCCACACAGTCACCTTTATTTTTTTTTCTGAGGAGATCTCAAAGCGTTGAGTCTTTGTTTGAAAAATGCATGGTTTCCGTTTGTCTTCTCCAGAGACAGCATTACACATGTCCCTTCTCCAGGAATGTGTGACAGCTCTCTGGCTGCCCTCAGTTGCAGGGTGAATTTTTAGAATTATGGTCTTTTTCTTTTTTTTTTATTGTTTGATTATTCATATGTGCATACAAGGCTTGGGTCATTTCTCCCCCCTGCCCCCACCCCCTGCCTTATCACCCACTCCGCCCCCTCCCTCTCCCCCCCCCACCGCCTCAATACCCGGCAGAAACTATTTTGCCCTTATCTCTAATTTTGTTGAAGAGAGAGTATAAGCATAATAGGAAGGAACAAGGGTTTTTGCTGGTTGAGATAAGGATAGCTATACAGGGCATTGACTCACATTGATTTCCTGTGCTGTGTGTTACCTTCTAGGTTAATTCTTTTTGATCTAACCTTTTCTCTAGTTCCTGGTCCCCTTTCCTATTGGCCTCAGTTGCTTTTAAGGTATCTGCTTTAGTTTCTCTGCATTAAGGGCAACAAATGCTAGCTTTTTTAGGTGTCTTACCTATCCTCACCCCTCCCTTGTGTGCTCTCGCTTTTATCATGTGCTCAAAGTCCAATCCCTTGTTGTGTTTGCCCTTGATCTTTTGGTCCAGGCTAACCTCACTCAGAATGATGTTCTCCAATTCCATCCATTTACCAGCGAATGATAACATTTCGTTCTTCTTCATGGCTGCATAAAATTCCATTGTGTATAGATACCACATTTTCTTAATCCATTCGTCAGTGGTGGGGCATCTTGGCTGTTTCCATAACTTGGCTATTGTGAATAGTGGCAATAAACATGGGTGTGCAGGTGCCTCTGGAGTAACCTGTGTCACAGTCTTTTGGGTATATCCCAAGAGTGGTATTGCTGGATCAAATGGTAGATCATGTTTAGCTTTTTAAGTAGCCTCCAAATTTTTTTCCAGAGTGGTTGTACTAGTTTACATTCCCACCAACAGTGTAAGAGGGTTCCTTTTTCCCGCATCCTCGCCAACACCTGTTGTTGGTGGTTTGCTGATGATGGCTATTCTAACAGGGGTGAGGTGGAATCTTAGTGTGGTTTTAATTTGCATTTCCTTTATTGCTAGAGATGGTGAGCATTTTTTCATGTGTTTTTTGGCCATTTGAATTTCTTCTTTTGAGAAAGTTCTGTTTAGTTCACTTGCCCATTTCTTTATTGGTTCATTAGTTTTGGGAGAATTTAGTTTTTTAAGTTCCCTATATTCTGGTTATCAGTCCTTTGTCTGATGTGTAGCTGGCAAATATTTTCTCCCACTCTGTGGGTGTTCTCTTCAGTTTAGAGACCATTTCTTTTGATGAACAGAAGCTTTTTAGTTTTATGAGTCCCATTTATCTATGCTATCTCTTAGTTGCTGTGCTGCTGGGGTTTCATTGAGAAAGTTCTTACCTATACCTACTAACTCCAGAGTATTTCCTACTCTTTCCTGTATCAACTTTAGAGTTTGGGTCTGATATTAAGATCCTTGATCCATTTTGAGTTAATCTTGGTATAGGGTGATATACATGGATCTAGTTTCAGTTTTTTGCAGACTGCTAACCAGTTTTCCCAGCAGTTTTTGTTGAAGAGGCTGCTATTTCTCCATCGTATATTTTTAGCTCCTTTGTCAAAGACAAGTTGGTTATAGTTGTGTGGCTTCATATCTGGGTCCTCTATTCTGTTCCACTGGTCTTCATGTCTGTTTTTGTGCCAGTACCATGCTGTTTTTATTGTTATTGCTTTGTAATATAGTTTGGTATATGTGATACCTCCTGCATTGTTCTTTTGACTGAGTATTGCCTTGGCTATTCGTGGCCTCTTGTGTTTCCATATAAATTTACAGTAGATTTTTCAATCTCTTTAATGAATGTCATTGGAATTTTGATGGGAATTGCATTAAACATGTAGATTACTTTTGGGAGTATCGACATTTTTACTATGTTGATTCTACCAATCCATGAGCATGGGAGATCTCTCCACTTTCTATAGTCTTCCTCAATCTCTTTCTTCAGAAGTGTATAGTTTTCCTTGTAGAGGTCTTTCACATCTTTTTGTTAGGTTTACACCTAGGTATTTGATTTTTTTTGAGGCTATTGTAAATGGAATTGTTTTCATACATTCTTTTTCCAGTTTGCTCATTGTTAGTGTATAGAAATGCTAATGATTTTTCTATGTTGATTTTATATCCTGCTACCTTGCTATAGCTATTGATGATGTCTAGAAGCTTCTGAGTAGAGTTTTTTGGGTCTTTAAGGTATAGGATCATGTCATCTGCAAATAGGGATATTTTGACAGTTTCTTTACCTATTTGTATTCCTTTTATTCCTTCTTCTTGCCTAATTGCTCTGGCTAGGAATTCCAGTACTATGTTGAATAGGAGTGGAGATAGTGGGCATCCTTGTCTGGTTCCTGATTTTAGAGGGAATGGTTTCAGTTTTTCTCCATTAAGTATAATGCTGGCTGTAGGTTTGTCATATATAGCTTTTATAATGTTGAGGAACTTTCCTTCTATTCCTAGTTTTCTTAGAGCTTTTATCATGAAATGTGTTGGATCTTATCAAAGGCTTTTTCTGCATCTATTGAGATGATCAAGTGGTTTTGTCTTTGCTTCTGTTAATGTGGTTTATTAGTTTATTGATTTTCGTATGTTGAACCACCCCTGCATCCCTGGGATGAAGCCTACTTGGTCGTGGTGAATAATCTTTTTGATGTGTTGTTGAATTCGGTTTGCCATTATTTTGTTGAGGATTTTTGCATCAATGTTCATTAAGGAGATTGGCCTATAGTTCTCCTTTTTGGAGGTGTCTTTGCCTGGTTTTGGGATAAGTGTAATACTGGCTTCATAAAATGTGTTTGGCAGTTTTCCTTCCCTTTCTATTTCATGGAACAGTTTAAGGAGGGTTGGTATCAGTTCTTCTTTAAAGGTCTGATAGAATTCAGCAGAGAATCCATCAGGTCCTGGACTTTTCTTTTTGGGGAGACTCTTGATTGCTGCTTCAATTTCATTTTGTGTTATAGTCTATTCAGGTGATTAATTTCCTCTTGGTTCAGTTTTGGATGATCATATGTGTCTAGAAATCTGTCCATTTCTTTAAGATTTTCAAATTTATTTGAATATAGGTTCTCAAAGTAGTCTCTGATGATTTCCTGGACTCCATGGTGTTTGTTGTTATCTCCCCTTTTGCATTCCTGATTCTACTAATTTGGGTTTTTTCTCTCCTCATTTTAGTCAGGTTTGCCGGGTCTATCGATCTTGTTTATTTTTTCAAAGAACCAACTTTTTGTTTCATTAATTCTTTGTATGGTTTTTTGGTTTCTATTTCGTTGATTTCAGCTCTTATTTTTATTATTTCTCTCCTTCTATTTGTTTTGGGATTTGCTTGTTCTTGTTTCTCTAGGAGTTTGAGATGTATCATTAGGTCATTGATTTGGGATCTTTCAGTCTTTTTAATATATGCACTCATGGCTATAAACTTTTCCTCTCAGGACTTGCGCAGGCAGCTTTCTTATAATACATGGGAATTGCCTGAAAATGAAACTATAAAGGATAGATCAAGGGCAAGAAGGGAGCCCCAAACACAGTGGAATGATCTCAGGCCAGACCTCTGAGTTTGGAGGAAAGTGGGGACAAGGAACCACGGCAGGACTGGGAGTCCTCACAGTGAGATAACAGTAGGTAGACGCCAAAAGTTGATAACGTGATGATGAGGGTTCCTTGAACTGAATTGCAAGGCACCATAGGAAATTTAAGAGATCCAGGATAAAGGAGGAGGCTGCACTCCCTGTAGGCACATACCCCAGTGACTTTCTCTGCAGAGATTTGCAGTGAGGTGTCTCTAGTTAACCAACAGGGATGATGGTTTTTATGGAGTCAGGCTTCCTGGAGGTAACTCTGAACACCTGGCATGAACCCCAAATTTCTTGTCCCCATGAGACGGTGCAGGGACACTGTGAGAATTTACTAACCACATCAAGAAGGGCACAGAATCACACTACCTTATGTCTGTGTACCCAAAGAACCCAAGCATCAGCTGGGCATCAAAGCTGGTTTAAAGTAGACTTGGTGTACACAGACACCTAGCAGAATTCTCAAAATGTGGGGCATGAGGGAATTTGGAGAGCTAATGGACCTGTTTTTGATCTGTATTATAGTAGAGCTTACAAGGCTGTATGCATTTGTCAAAGCAGTGTTGAAACAGTTTAAATTCTCAGGAATTTCACTAGGTAATTATATGGTTAATACAAATATTAAAAATCAAAACCTAGATGATGTTGCCCTGGATGGCTGTGTTTTGGGGCTGCTGTTTCCCCAGAGCCATAGCCTGTGTGTTAATCTGTGCATTAATCTGATGGTTTCCTCTGTAGATGGTTGTGATGCTCCACTGGCCTCTGCCTTGCCTTGGTCATCCTTCAGCAGTTCCTCTGAGCTGTCTAGCAGCCATGGCCCTGAGTTTGCACGACTTAACCGGAGAGATGGTGAGTGTGCTTTCACTTATTTGATCTTGGTGAATCTGCACTGGATTTTTTCATTTAATAAATTAATCATAATTTGATTGAAAGAAAATAAAATGCCCAAATAAGCACATCTAAAACTTCTGATATATATTGGTGAATAAATTGTCATTTTGGCACTCTGTTCTGGCTGGGCCTCTCGGAACAACCTTCATGAGCTTTGGAACAGGTCACACCTGACTTTGACAGAATTTATGTTTTTTGTATACTTGTGTCTACATTGAGGTATTTAATGAAGTCCTTGAGAATTCTTCCATATCCTCTGGTGTCTCCAATGTCTTCTCTTCCTTGTTCTACTTCAGGGTACACATTTCTTGTGGCGATATTACCCCAGATTATTAATTAGCCCTCTTTAATGAGGAAAATTGGCAAAATTAAGAAGCAGGTAGAAAAGGTGTTATTATCTTTAACCACAGCTCTTAGTCTTTCATCATGCTCACTCTTAGTGGACCACTGAGGAGGAAATGGAGCACATAATGGTTTATCATTGTTCCTCTGGAAAATTCCATTTTGTCATTTGCAACATTTCTTTTTTTTTGTATTCATTTTTCACATGTGCCATAACATTGCTTGGGTCATTTTCTTCCCCTGCCCCCTCCCCCACTCTTTCCCCCCATTCTCCCTCAGTTCCAGGCAGGTCCTTCTGCCTTTATCACTATTTTGTGAAGAAAAGACAAGCATAATAAGGAAGACAAATTTTGCTAGTTGATTAAGGATAACTATACAGAATATTCCTAGCATTGCTTTTGTACACATGTTATGACCCATGTTGATTCATCTCTAACTGATCTTTAACTGGTTACTGATCCCCTTCATGATAACCTCTTGCTTTAAGGTTTCTGTATTAGTTCCTCTGGAGTGGGACATCAAAACTTTCATGTTTTGGGTTTCTACCTATTCTATCTCCCTATATGCTCTCCCCTTCATGTGATCAAGTCAACCACATTGCTGCACTAGATCTAAAGTCCTGCATATGAGGGAGAACATACGATTTTTGGTCTTCTGAGCCTGGCTGACCTCACTCAGAATGATGTTCTCCAGTTCCATCCATTTACCTGCAAATGATAAGATTTCATTCTTCTTCATGGCTGAGTAAAATTCCATTGTGTACAAGTACCACATTTTCTTGATCCATTCATCAATAGTGGGGCATCTTGGCTGTTTCCATAACTTGGCTATTGTGAATAGTGCTGCAATAAACATGGGTGTGCAGGTGCCTCTGGAGTAACCTGTGTTGCATTCCTTTGGGTATATCCCCAGGAGTGGGATTGCTGGATCATATGGCAGGTCTATGTTTAGATTTTTAAGAAGTCTCCAAATTTTTTTCCAGAGTGGTTGCACCAGCTTGCATTTCCACCAGCAGTGGACTAGGGTTCCTTTTTCCCCACATCCTGCCAACACTGTTGTGGTGGTGTTTGATGATGGCTATTCTAACAGGGTGAGGTGGAATCTTAGTGTGGTTTTGATTTGCATTTCCTTTATTGCTAGAGATGGTGAGCATTTTTTTCATGTGCTCTTTTGCCATTTGAATTTCTTCTTTTGAGAAAGTTCTGTTAAGTTCAGTTGCCCATTTTTAAATTGCTTCATTGATTTTAGGAGAATTTAGTTTCTTAAGTTCTGGTTATCAGTCCTTTTTTGTCTGATGTATAGCTGGCAAATATTTTCTCTCACTCTGTGGTTGGTCTCTTCAGTTTAAAGACCATTTCTTTTGTTGTGCACAAGCTTTTTAATTTTATGAAGTCCCATTTATCTATGCTATCTCTTAGTTGCTGGGCTGCTTGGGTTCTATTGAGGAAGTCCTTGCCTATATCTATTAGTTCCAGAGTATTTCCTGCTCCTTCCTGTAGTAACTTCAGAGCTTCAGGTCTGATATTTAGGTCCTTGATCCATTTTGATCAAGTACTACTACTTGTACAAGGTGATACTAGTACAGGGTGATAGATATGGATCTAGTTTCAGTTTCTTGCAGACAGGTAACCACTTTTTCCAGCACATTTGTTGAAGAGGCTGTCTTCTCTGCATCATATGTTTTTGGCACCTTTGTCAACAATAAGGTGGGTATAATTGTGTGGATTCATATCGAAGTCCTCTATTCTGTTCCCCTGGTCTTCATGTCTGTTTTTATGTCAGTACCATGCTGTTTTTATTGCTATTGCTTTGTAATATAGTTTGAAGTCAGGTATTGTGATACCTCCAGCATTGCTCTTTTCGCTGAGTATTGCCTTGGCTACTTGTGGTCTTTTGTGTTTCCAAATGAACTTCAGAGTAGATTTTTCAATCTCTGTGATGAAAGTCATTGGGATTTTGATGGGAATTACATTAAACATGTAGATTGCTTTTGGTAGTATAGCCATTTTTACTATGTTGATTCTACAATCCATGACATGGGAGATCTTTCCATCTTCTGTAGTCTTCCTCATCTCTTTCTTCAGGAGTTTGTAATTCTCCTTGTAGAGGTCATTCACATCTTTGTTAAATTTACTCCTAGGTATTTGATTTTTTTTTGAGGCTATTGTGAATGGAATTGTTTCCATATATTCCTTCTTAGTTTGTTCGTTGTTGGTGTATAGAAAAGCTAATGATTTTTTAGGTTGATTTTGTATCCTGCCACCTTACTGTAGCTGTTTATGGTGTCTAAGAGTTTTTGGGTAGAGTTTTTGGGTCTTTAAGGTATAGGATCATATTCTGCAAATAGGATATTTTGACAGTTTCTTTACCTATTTGTATTCCTTTTATTTCTTCTTCTTGCCTAATTGCTCTGGCTAGAATTCCAGTACTATGTTGAATAGGAGGGGATAGTGGGCACCCTTGTCTCATTCCTGATTTTAGGGAATGGTTTCAGTTTTTCACCATTAAGTAATGATTTGCTGGCTTAGGTTTGTCATATATAGCCTTTACAATGTTGAGGTACATTCCTTCTATTCCTAGTTTTCTTAGAGCTTTTATCATGAAGTGGTGTTGGATCTTGTCAAAGGCTTTTTCTGCATCTATTGAGATGATCAAGTGGTTTTTGTCTTTGCTTCTATTGATGTGCTGTATTACATTTATAGATTTGCGTATGTTGAACCACCCTGCATCCCTGGGATGAAGCCGACTTGGTCATGGGTATGATCTTTCTATGTGTTGTTGGATTTGGTTTGCCATTATTTTATTAAGGATTTTTGCATCATATTCATTAAGGAAATTGGCCTATAGTTCTCCTTTTTGGAGTGTTCTTTGTCTGGTTTGGATGAGAAATATTGGCTTCATAAAATGAGTTAGGCAGAGTGTTCCTTCCCTTTCTATTTCATGGAACAGTTTAAGGAGAGTTGGTATTAGTTCTTCTTTAAATTCTGATAGAATTCAGCAGTGAATCCATTCAGGTCCTGGACTTTTCTTTTTGGGAGCTCTTGATTGCTGCTTCAATTTCTTTTTGTGTTATAGATCTATTCAGGTGATTAATATCTTCTTGGTTCAGTTTTGGTGTTGTAAGTTTCTAGAAATCTGTCCATTTCTTCAAGATTTTCAAATTTATTAGAGTTAGGCTCTCAAAGTAGTCTCTGATGATTTCCTAGATTTCCATGGTGTTTGTTGTTATCTCCCCTTTTGCATTTCTGATTTTACTGATTTAGGCTTTTTCTCTCCTAATTTTAGTCAGGTTCATGAGGGGTTTGTCAATCTTATTTATTTTTTGAAAGAACCAGCTTTTTGATTCTTTGTATGTTTTTTTTGTTCCTATTTCATTGATTTCAGCCCTTATGTTAATTATTTCTTTCCTTCTGCTTGTTTTGGGATTTGCTTGTTCTTGTTTTTCTAGGAGTTTGAGCTGTAGGATTAGGTCATTGATTTGAGATCTTTCTGTCCTTTTAATATATGCACTCATGGCTATAAACTTTCCTCTTAGGACTGCCTTTTACTGTGTCCCATAGGTTCTGTAGGTCATGTTTTCATTTTCATTAACTTCCAGGAACCTTTTAATTTCCTCTTTTATTTCATTGATGACTCATTCATCATTGAGCAATGTGTTGTTCAGTTTCCAATTGTTTGCATGTTTTTTTACTGCTGTTTTTGTTGTTGATTTCTAGTTTTAATGCATTGTGGTCAGATAGAATGCATGGGATTATTTCTATTTTCTTATATTTGCTGAGGCTTGCTTTGTGCCCTAAAGATATGATCATTTTGGAGAAGGTTCCATGGCTGCTGAGAAGAATGTTATTGTTGTGCAGAATTGGATAAAATATTCTGTAGACATCAGCTAGGTCCATTTTGATCTATGGTGTTTGATTATTCTAGGATTTCTTTATTGATTTTTTGTTTGGATGACCTATGTATTGGTGATAGGGGAGTATTAAGGTCTCCCACTATCACTGTGTTGGAGTTTATATATGCTTTTAGGTCCTTCAGAGTATGTTTGATAAAATTGGGTGCATATAGGTTGATAATTGTTATTTCCTCTTGGTGAATTTCCCCTTTTATTAGTATGGAATGTTCTTCTTTATCTTGTTTGGTCAATGTAGGTTTGAAGTCTACTCATGCCTTTTGCTTGCACCTCTTCTTCTTCAGATGCCCATGATTTCTCAGGTTGATTCTTTTGATGGATGTCCAGTTAGTTCTTGCATTTTTTCTTTTCAACAGGTCTTGATTGTGTTAACTAATAATTCTTCAGGTTTTCCTTTAATTGCCATTTTTCAATCTTCAAGTTTCTGAGATTGCTGTCTTCTGTTTGGTTCTATTCTGCTGGAATGGCCTTCCATTTGTTTTGTTCTTTCGTTTCATCTTTTTCTGAGGTTTTTCCATATTATGGTTACTGTTTTTTTTTTTCCTCCTTTAATATTGGTCAATTTTCGCCCTTTAATTCATTTATGCTCTGTTTACGGATGATCTGTGTTTCAGTTTGGTATTATTAGGGCTCCTATGATTTCATTTATTTGTTTCTGTGTTATTCATAGTCTTTAGTTTTGTCTGTCTGGGAATTTGAGTGGCCC